TACTAATGTCTGTCTCCCCACTATACAGAAAGCTCCACAAGGACAGACACTATGTTCATCTTGTTCAGTCTGTATCCTCAGTGCCTAAGTACACAGAATGAGTGAGTGAATGAACAAATGAATGAGAAGTGCCCGAGGGCTTCCTAAAACACAAGAGGCAGTGAACTACAGCCCAAGGGCCATATCCAGCCCACTGCCTATTTTTAAACACCTACTAGGCACGAATGGTTTTTACAGTTGTAAACAGTTGAAAAAAAATCAAAAGAACAATATTTTGTGACATGTGAAAATTACATGAAATTCAAATTTCAGAGTCCATAAATAAAAATTATGGGGACACAGCTACACTAATTCTATGGTTGTTTCTGTACTGCAACAGCAGAGTGGTCACAGCAATGGTATGGTCACAAGACCTAAAATATTTACTACGTGGCCCTTTACATAAACATTTACCCACTGCTATAACAGTGTCCTCAGAGTCCAGACTGTGTGCATGAAATACAAGAGACCTGAAATACAAGACTGACTGTAACCTGGGTGAGTCGTCCCTCTTTGGTTTCCTGATGCCTGTTATACTTAGTGGGCATTCACTGAATGGCAGACACCTCCAGGACATGAGGTAAGAATGTCATTTAATACATTTGAGAATTCTGGCTGATCACTTCTAAAGGGTTGGAGCTCACACCAAAAACAATGCTTACTGGGTGACCACCTTCTACTCATTCTTTCAACAAACGTCTACCCAGGCACCTGCTTTGTGCAGGTACCATTCTGGGAGGTGAGAACACAAACAGCAGTCCTCAGGGGGCCTCCTGAGCAGGAAACAGGGTGGAGACTATGCTATAATGAGGACTATGTGCCAGGCAGCGGAAGATGGAAAGCAACTGATATGATACTGTACTTGCCTTTAAGGAATTTACTGATTGGAAGGCCATGACAAACCCATGAAAAGTTAAGTCTCAATAAAAGATTTAAACAGTACTTCAAGCCCCTAAGCAGATGCCCCAGGGCAGGATGTCTTAGCAGAACCATTCAGTCAAGAAGACTGGCTCATCTCATCTATTTTGTAGTGAACACACTATGATTACCCAGGCTAACAAATGTTTGCCATTAAGCTGAGAGCAGTTTCAACACCAGAGAATGTGCATCCTTCCCACAAAAATGGGTTAAAAATGGGATGCATGACTGTTGAGTTATGTGTGACTTGGAAACCCAACACACCTGTCCATTTGAGCACCAAATGCCTTCAAGAAAGGGAGTAGAGGGAGCAGAATTCATCTGCCGATAGGCTGATGATGCTCCTTGCTCCAGAGACTGCAGAGATCTGACAGAGCAGGGTCGTTCAAGCTTTACCCCCAGTCAGTCACATGCTCTCCTTCCCAAAGTGCCAGCTGACTCCAGAACTGTCTCCCGCTCCTCAGATCCCAGTGAAGCTCAGTAGAAGCCTCCACCACCCCTACACACAGACACGTGCGCACATGCACACACACACACACACACACACACACACGAAGCCTCAGCCTCTGCCTGCCCAGTGTAGCAGTTTCCAAATCTGTAGTAACAGGTACTGTAGAGCCTGGTAAAGAATTGTTCAGTAAAATGTTCATGGTGCATTCTTACTCACTTTTCTGTGAAAAGGACAGAAATCAAATGCAGTAAAGGAAAAACCACTACATCTTATCTAATCCAAAACCACTGATATCCAAAGTCAAAAAAGGTAGACTTGTCAGCACATAGAACACAATTAGACACTCAGCATTTTGGACACTCACTGTTCCAGAGTCTCTACTATCAAAGAGAGAATGAGTGGAGCATCACGACCTCAGGCAAATCACATCCCCGCTCTGGCCTCCATTCTCTCATCTGTAAAATAAGGCACTGGACCAGATCCGAGTTTAGGAATAGAGAAGTTAACCAAGAAATTCCAGTATCAGCTTTCATTAAGACTCAAGCAGCAAAACATTTTGGAAAAGCCCAACAAAACCACAGCTTCTCCAGAGAAGGCAGAGAGATGCTTTAAACAAGAAACATGATAATACAATAAGACTTTTCTTTTCTCTTTAACTCATCTGTCAAAAGAAATGGTATCTGTAAAATTATATACAAGTAGCTGAAGTTTGAACAGGGCTTAATCATCATTAGCCTAGAATCCCCCTCAGAAATCAGGGTCTCCCCTATGGCTGAGCAGCCCTTAAGTAAAGCAATAAAGCTTATGGGCATCAGTTCTTACATCTGAAGGTGAAAAGGAAAATAAATTGCTAATTTCCACTCTTGCCACCAAAAAATTTTTACTCTCACAGCTCAAAAGGAATCACTGTACACTAGAATTCATCCTTCTTAAAATGCATGCCTACTCTGAAACCCTACATCCTGACTGCTCCTTTCTTTTGGAAAGCCTTAGTTGTGGTTCCATTTCCACTGTTTTTTTTTTTTTTTTTTAGGAAGATTAGCCCTGAGCTAACTGCTGCCAATCCTCCTCTTTTTGCTGAGAAAGACTGGCTCTGAGCTAACATCCGTGCCCATCTTCCTCTACTTTATATGTGGGATGCCTACCACAGCATGGTGTGCCAAGCAGTGCCATGTCCGCATCCGGGATCGGAGCCGGCGAACCCTGGGCCGCCGAAGCGGAACGTGCGCACTTAACCGCTGCACCACTGGGCCGGCCCCCCATTTCCACTGTTTTTATGAAGCAGACCCTTGGCCTCTGGCATTCTGTCTTATTCTGTGACTACTTCAACTTTACATATCAAAATATTCCTGCAGAGTCAGTAACTCACACAAAAATGGATTTCCTTTTTTTAAAGAAATATTCTGAACATACAAAAAGATGGATAGAATAATATAACAACACAGGTGTATCTACCATCCACTCCTAGAAATAAAATACTGCAAGGACAGTGGAAGCCCCTGGGCGCCCATCTCCATTCACATTCCCCTCTATTCCCATCAGCAGGAACCACCATCCTGACTCCAGGACTCTTCACACCAGCAGCTCTCCCACTCACCACACACCATGTACACTTACATGATCTGCTTAATCTTTACTAAACGGTATCATTCTGTGTGTACTCATTCTGTAACTTCATTTTTCTTGCTCAATTTTATGTTTATGAGAGTCATCCACATTGACACCTATAGCTCTCATCCCTTTGTGTTCACTGCTGCATAATATTCCGTTATAGGAATATAACACATATTTGGCCAAAGACACTGCTTGTTGTTTCATTTGACTGCCATGTAGTGTCAACTCTGTCCCAGCCGTTTTCCATAACATTTTCCAGAATCCTCACAACCACCTAATGAGGAAGGTCAGATTCCCAACAGACCAAAAACGAACCTGGAACAGAGAGGTGGCGTTAACTTGCCCAAGACATGTGAGTTGCAGACTCAGGCTGTAAGGTCAAGTCCACCCAACTCGAAAGCTGCCGACACTGCAGCTTGTAGCCCCACTTATGCAGATACCTCCATTATTTAATTTTTTTTAATGAAAAAACTGATACAGGGCTCCAAAGTCACCTGAGAAAATCTGAAACAGGATGCTCTATTTTCTTTTTTAACAAACAATTCCATAGGAAATTCATCTGACACAAGAATAGTCCATGTACACAGTGAGGACAAGCCTTTACCTTTGGCAAACGTCCCTGTGTACTGGCTGGAGTCATTCCCAAGTTTATACAAATGCTTTCTAACTAAGCCCGAGTTGAACTGCAAAGCTGCTTGGCTTCCTTTGGAGAAAGAGGCTGTCTGTGCCCACTTAGAGACAGAATGGAGGAGCCTGAAAGAACGTGGGAATCAGACTCTGCTTGAAATGGCAAGAGCTGAGTTGACAAAGCTCTAAGAACGACCTCAGGGAGCAGCTCCAGCTGCTCTGGAGGTCCCACGGACGCTGTGCTCACAAGGCCAGAGCGCTAGGCACAGCCCACTTTGCTCTCCACTTGGCCAGCTTTGCAGAGAGCATTCATACGTCCCAGCCCAGCCCTGCTGCTCTGGAGAAAGCCCAGCTTGCAATACGGAAGAGAAGTAAGAAAGACGAGCAAGGGTGGAGGCTCACAGGAACCAGGCAGAGAGCAAGGCCAGGAGAGAGGCACCCGGGTCCAAGCCATTGCCCAGATCCCCAGGTGCTCGAAGCAGGAGGGTCACTAGGAGATGAAGGGGTTTAACACTCTAGGAACTCCGAAGGACAAGGGAGGCCTCTTAGCACCAGGACCAGGACTCCTGACTCTAGCCCCATACTTCTACACTGCATCTCCCACACCGTGTTTCTCTGCTAAAAGATTAAGGAAGCCTGGAATGAGCAAGGCAGAAATGGTTGAAGCAATCCTTTCCCACCTCTCCCAGCCAAAATAAGGAGCAAGAAAGGCTCTGCCGCTCACTGGCTGTGTGACTTCAGCTGGAGCAACACTGCCCACTTTGGAGGGGACTGTAGTGGATTTATCTCTAAGGGCTCTGCCATCTCTGACTCTGTCTATAATACCGAATGCAATAACATTTACTGAGCAGTTTAGAGTATAATTCATTTAATCCCAACATTCTTAAGGTAGATCCTACTAGTATCCCCATTTTACAGAGGAGGCAGCTGAAGCACAGAGAGGTTAAATAACTTACTCAAGGTCAAGAGGCCTACAGTCATAGATGCCTGGGAGGGATGCACAGGATGGGGACGTGGGGCGCACAACAGTAGGGCCTGAGGGTAGGCTGAGGGAGATGAGCGGTCAAAGCGTCTGAGGAAAGGAGAGGTGACTGAGCAGCCCCCAGTCACCCTGGCCTAAGCCTAGGTCCTTAGGGCATAAAATGGGGACTCGCGGACAGAGTCTGGGGAAGTGGGGAAAGGCAGGCAGACTAGGGCCTTAGAGAAAGCAGGATGCATGGAGAAAGTGGACATAGCTAGGCTGGCTGGGGGTAGGGGGCGGACCTGGAGACTAAGCAGGGGAGCCGACTAAAGGGCGTGTGACGGGTTCTGCGAGTCCGGGTGCGGGGATTTGAGGGGCGGGAGGTCGCACCTTGAGCACTGTGACGGTTCCCGCGCTGTGCACCTGGAAGTGCGCGGGCAGCTCGGCGCCGGGCTCCGCCGCCTCGTCGGGGCCCTGGTAGCTGAAGCAGGCGTCCGCGATGTCCAGGTGGCCGAGGGGCAACGCGTCCTGCGGGCTCTTGAAGTAGTAGAGGTAGCAGCGGCGCGCGTCGAACACGAACCAGCGGCTGCGGTAGCCGCGCAGCGGGCCTTTGCCCGACAGCTTCTGCAGGTAGCCGCACAGCCGCGCTGGCTCCCGCCCGGGCCCCACCCCAGGCTCCGCCGCGGCCCCCGGGGCCGCGCCCTCACTACCGCTGCCCTCCTCCACCCGGGCACCGGACCCCGGCATGGCCGGGCCGCGCGCCCACCACCAGCACCCCGAGCCCCTCGCCTCCTTGCCGCCGCCGCCGCCACCGCGCCCCTCCCCGCAGTCCCGCCGTTCCGCACGCCCTGCGGGAGCGCAAAGCAGCCTGGGACTTGTAGTCCCGCCCCCGCCCGCCCCCGGGAGCCCCTGCCCTAGTGCCAGCCCTGTTCCCAGCCCCGGTCCCAGCCCCGGTCCCAGCCCCAGTGCCAGCCCCGGGTTCCTCACCGCCCCAGAGGCGAGGTCTGGGCGGGTCGCCCTAGCGCCTCATTACTTTCCTGTAACTTGAGGCTCAGAATCCCGCACTGCCAGGGTGAAACGTCGTTCTATTTCTTTACAGGAGTGTGGTTTACATGGGAATGTGCGTTTCTCAAAACCCATCAGAGTGTCCACTTAAAACTGTGCATTTCACTGTGTGTGAATTATACTTCAGCACAAAACTTTATTTTTAAATCTCTGCCCTGCAAGAATCACGGGCTAATGCAAAAATGAGAGAGCCTATTGCCTGGCCCGGAGTGGGTGCTCAGTAAATATTCGCAGAATGCATGAATGAAAGCATAAGCATTTCTAACCTCTCCACACTTCAGTTTGTTCACTGAAGTCAACAAATACTTATTAAGCACCTTCTGTGAGCCAGGTACAGTTCCATACCCTAGAGGATGCAGCAGTGAATGAGCCAATCATTTCTGTCCCTCATGGAGATGATATTCTAGTGAGAGAGAACACACACATGAGCAGATAAATACTGTATTGTATAAATGCTGTGATGAGATTTAAATAAGGATTACCACTTAAATAGCACTTATTGCTTACCAGTGCTTTATAAACCAACTCATTTGAACTCTCACAACTACTTCAAGAGGCAATTACCATTGTTTCTCAATAAAGTGGTACAAAGACCAGGTGATAGAAAGCAGGAGTGGCAGGCTGTTCCACAAAGATCGGGAAGGCCCCTCTGAGGAAGTGGCCCGGAGCAGAGACCTGTATGATGTGAGGGAACAGGCCTGCAAAGATGTGAGGGGGAAATACTCCAGGCAGAGGTGACAGCAAGTAAAATGCTCACTTTTCTCAAAGGAAAAAGGATGGTTATAGTTATGTTTGTGAAAGAGCCAAATCAAGACAAATATCTCACCTTCATTTTGCATCTTTTTACAAGAAACATTAATAGACACAAGTGGAAATCAGGCTTTCTGAGACGGACGGGGCCACCAAATTAGACTGCCTACTTGGAGTCAAACAGGTCGGAAGGGTGAACCCTCTGGGCCTCACCCTGTCAGCCAGCCAACCATCCACAGGCCTTACGTTAGCTTCCAGATGAACTCCCCTTTTCCGGGGCCTGTCAAGGGTGCCTCAACCTTAGGGCCCTTCGGTTCTCTTTGAGCACAATTCTGCATAGTGTTAAGGGCTGGGCTCTAGAGCCAGACTGACAGGATTTGTCTCCTAGCTCTGCCACTAAGCAGAGGTGTGGCCTTGGGCAAGGTACTTAACCTCTCTGAGCCTCAGTCTCTTCATCTATAAAATGGATATAATACAAGTAGCTACCTCATACCATTGTTCTTGTAAAGGTTACATGAGAAATGCATATGAAAGTACTTACCACAGTGCCTAGCACGCGGTGAGCACTCAATACATATCAGCTGTTATTATTATTATTCTTGTACAGTTAACATTGATGCCCTCCTCAGCAGATTCCAAAAGGGGGGAATCTAGCAGTCAGACCAGCCCCCACACATGGGAGGCCAGAGAACGCACTGTAGGAGAGGGATAAGCCGCCCTCTGGAGCGAGGGAATGGAGTTCAATTTAAGCCTTACCCTGTGGGTAGGAGATGTTGTGACTAATTGGCTCGTGGGGAGGCAGCCCGGGTGGGGTGTGACCAGGAAATCCCATGGAAAGGCGAAGAGCTGGGAGAACTGAGTCTGTACAGCCATAGTACTGGGAGGCTGCAGGGCAGGGCAGGGTACAGCCCATCTCTGTCCTCTGCTCTATCAGTGAGTTGTGAGAAAGTGTGGGTGGCTTTGCCCTGCAGTCCCAGAGAAGAGAACTAAGCCTTGTAGGGTATTGTGTGGAGGCAGACATCTGCTAGACGTGAGGAAAGTGTCCTTCACAGGCAGAGGGAGTGAGCCTCCTCCCTGGGGCAAGAGTCTGGGCTGGCTGGCTGGGGGATGGCAGATGGTACTGGACAGAGGACCTCTACAGTCCCTGCTGGAGCTGCTGTCTGTGCTTCTCAGTGGGCAATCTGGGCCTTGACCCTGACCCTTCTACCCTTGAGCCTCTGCTCTCTCCCTGGTCACCCAAGGCAGAGGAGCAGGGCCATTTTAACATGCTTGCAGGCCCTTGCCCTCTTCCTTTTGCAGGCCACGCTCCACATCACATCAAACGTGTTAAAATTGCCCACATCCCATAGTAAATGTATGCATAATTTTGGTTCTAGAAGAGTTCGAAGGAATTTCTATAATTATGCTCTTGATATTATCCGACTATGAGGAATTCATTTTAATTTATGATTGGCTCCAGACTCTTGGCAATCATCACGTCTATGTGAGAAGCCTGACTGAATGAGAAAAACCCAACCTACAATTTTTTTTCAAAGGGAATGACATCTTTATGGTTACTGCAAAGTTGACATAATGTTATACTTTGTAGACATTTAATTAAATGTTTATTAATGATGATTTTACTCTTTGTCTCAGGTTTTGGAGTCAATATATTTTTCTTAGGCTACAAACATTTCATAGACCCCTTGAAAGTTGGTGGACCCAAGCACTGGGCCTAGTATCTAAGAGATAAACTGGCCTGGCTCTTGCCTGATCTGGCCAGGCCCAGAATGTGGCCCTCTGAGGAAGATGCTCAGCCACAAACCCTGAGACCCCAACGAGAGTGTGGAGGCCTCGAACTCAGCAGCAACGCCTCAGCGAGGTTCCTGGAGGCCCTGAGTCTCTGCCCACCCGGCCAAGCCCAGTAGAAGTGGCCTAAGCCTTCCAGGGCTCTGTAGGGCCTCCATGATCAACCCCAAAACCCTCTTGGCCCTCCAGACCTATCCCAGGTCCCCCTGCCCTGCCATGTCTCTCAGGGCCACTCTAGGATGCTGGTTATTTCATGAGCAAACCCTGTGTTGTCTCGCCTCTCATCCCCACGAGCTGAAGGGGCCTACACAGCAGGGCTTTAGCTCGTCTCTCTTAGCACCTCCTCCATCTTCAATTTGTATAATTTTTATAGTTTATGTAAAATGGTAAACAAATGCAGCTTCTGTTTCCCCCCTTCTCTAACCAGATCACTGCCCTCAAGGCCCTCCTATATGGAAATTCTAGGGCCGCCTCTGGTGGCTCCTAATTCCTTAGAACCCTTCTTAAATGACTTGACATTTTGCAGTTCCCAAGGTCTCCTAGATTTAATATCACTGTCCCGTGGTCAGGGGCCCAGCTTTACACAGCCTATGTTCCTCCCCTTTGGCTAAAACAGGTATGCTTGGTGTCAGAGGGTTTGCCCTGCATGCCCATGTGAGCCTCTGCCCCCTCAAGACTCTCGTGGACACTGGAACTCAGTGACCAGAAGGAAGTGGCCAATCTAGGAGGAAGTAGCTGCTGTTTACTGAAAAGGGGAAATCTGGGTAGTGAACTTGCTCCCACATGGCCAGTCTCTGGGCAAACCCCAGGGGGAATACAGAGCCAGTGACTCATCCTAGGCCAGTTTCCCCAGAGAGGGACGGGGTGAGAGGCCTCTGAAGAAGCACCCAGCCACACACTGCCTCTGAGTCTCTCAGACCCTATGGAGACAGAGCTGGCCAGGAAACTGACCTGCCACAGCAGGAGCTCACAGTCCTGTGGGGAGCCCAGAGAGGCTCTCACTTGATACACTGTGTGTCCTTAGGGGTGTCTGTGCCCTCTCTGGACTGCAGTTTCCCACCTGTAAAACAAGGGAATGGATAGCTAGGTGATCACCAAGGGCCCTGCCCCCGCCGGCTCTGAAATGTATCAGTGGCATGAGGCACAGGTGTGAGGGCCTGTGGTCATTCTTCCTATAGCTCTGCAGACCAGTGGAGGTTCTGCTCTTTCAAGCTCAAAGGCCTCTTGATTTTTCCAGCCATCCCAGCCAACCTATCCCTTCCCTTCAGGGCTCTCTGCCATCCTACAGGCTTGGCTGCCCACTGTGGTTAGTGCAAGCATTACCACCTTGGGGTCACATATTTGCATCTTCCCGGGGCCCTGCTGGAGAAGCTGCCCTAACCACCACCCTCACACACAAATGGAGGCCTCTGTCCCTGAGACAGAGAGTACAGGCAGAGATGGCTCCATTATTTGGGAGTGGGGGACACAATGCAATCCTGGTAGGGCCTGGTAGGGCCTAGCCCAGCAAACATCTGGAGGAAGTTGGCCTGGATGGGGAGAGGATTGGAGGTTACGGGGGTGAGGTTGGAGTACTGGAGCTGTGAATGGGTTAAGCACTGGAGGGCTGGAGAGGGAGCAGGAAGAGCAAGACCATCTTCAGAGCAGAGGCTGCAATGACCAGAGTGAAGGGCTCCCATGGGGAGACCCCTCCACCACCACCACCAGGGAGAAGGCCATCCATGAGCTTCTACACAGGCCTGCACCACGCCTCCTGCCCTGATAGGGTGTCAGTAGGAGGAATGGACTGGGCTCCTGGGGGCAGGGAGAGGGTTCCAAAATAAGGAAGGGGCTCTGTGACATTAGGCAGATCACCCAGCCTCCCTGTGCCTCAGTTTCCTCATCTGTAGAATGGGACATAATAATAGCATTTACCTCCTAGAGTTGTTGTGAGACTTAAATGAGATAATAAACGCAAAGCGCTTGGCAGAGTCCCTGATACACAGTAAGACCTCAGTATGGTGGCTAATTCATTCGACATCCCCAGGCCCTGCTCTGGCCTCTGCCTGGTGTTAGGTGATGCTGAAACTCAGAAAAGGCCTAGGCCTGGCCTTGCTGCAAGGAGCTCTCAGTCTGGGCAGGTAGGGGAGCTTCAGAGAGAGGAGCCCCGCCAGGGAACCCTCTCGGCCTGGATTTGCAGACTCTGACTTCCAGGAGGCTTCATTTCCCTACCAAATTGACAGGCAAA